TGTTGGTACCTGCCTGTCCTGCCCAAGGGGGAAGATTTGCCCCTGTTCTAAAGCTTCTCAGTTCACTGTTTGAGAATCTGCCTATAGTTTCTCCCAGAAAAGTGCACCTCAAGCCCTTGTTGGGTTCAGCCAATGCTCCTTTCTGCCTGACTTGAGCTTCACAGGGTGATGCTACTAGTGTTTGGAGGACCAGGTTAGTGTGGTCCCCAGCTTGTGCTGCAAGAATTAGGAGTGCGTGGCCCTGGAAGATGGTCCATAAGAGTGGTGTGGGATGTTGCCTCACAACTGGGATCTCAGAGGCCAACCCTTCAGATTTCAATGGAGGTCTTCTCGTTATGGTTTCCATATACCTTATATCTTCTTCCTCTACCAGAGCCCCGGGTGAGTGCCTAGGAGCAAGCTCCTGTGTGTTGCCCATTTAGCAGAACACATGGAATTTTAGCAGATTCCCTTCTTTTTCCAACAGACAGAGTACCTCCTGATTTCTCACTGCCAGATACTATGTAGGCTCCTCTTTCTGGACCTGGTGCTCTGGTTTGGAGATCCTGGTGTGGTGTTGAGACCCTACAATCTCAAGGAGGGACTTTTGCAGTCAAGATATCCCTCTGCCTCCTCAGCCACTGTACCCGGGTGCAAGGACCAGCCCTCACCGCATCTCCACCCTTCTTACCAGTCTCTGTAGCTTCTTCTATAAATTCTTAGATACAATACTACTTTTCAGATGTTTTTCAGTTGGTCGTTCAGGTTGATTGCCCTATAATTTAGCTGTGAATGTGTGTAGCTTCCACCTACTCCACAGAAATCTTGGATTCTTCTCATTAAGTCTAAGGTGCTTTTTTTTTTTTTTCATTGAAAGCTCTCCTAAATCAAGATGCACTTCACAACATATGACATCTTATTTTTTTTAATGTGGAAGTTAAAGTTATTTGGTTTAGGAGGGGTATGTTTAGTTGCTTTATATCAATATCTAGCATAGTGCTTGGCTTTTAATTTCTCAATATATAATAGACTGAATGATTAGGAACTAATCATCCAGGCTTATCCATATTTCTCTGAGTACTGTACTAAAATTAAAACAGATTCCTATTCTTAAAAATAAAAACAAAAATCTTTCCAAGTGACATTCTCATCGTGGTATTTGTTTTTCTTTTTCCATACAAAAGGGCTTCTGAGACGCATTTTCTTTTTCCTGGAAAAGTGCCTGGCACACAGAGTAGATATTTAGATATCTAATGAGTGAACAAAAATATTCTGTACCTGGATTAATTTTGTCTACTAATAAATCTTGGTTACTTTTTTATGTCACTACTTAATGCTATACCTTATTTTTTCTTTTTCCTTTCTTTCTTTTTTTTTTTTTAGTTACCTGTATTTTCTTACATGGATATAGTATGTATGTCATTCTACCCCATTGGATCTTCTCTTTATAAAAAATAATTTTTATTTTTCAGTTACATTTGATGTACAGTATATTAGTTTCATGTGTACAACCCAGTGATTAGACATTTATATAATTTACAAAGTAATCACCCACAAAAATTTAACAACCCATCTGATGACACCATACATAGTTATTACAATATTATTGACTGTATTTTTCTATGCTGTACTTTACATCCTATGGCTATTCTGTTACTACCAATGTGTATTTAATCTCTTCACCTTTTTCACCCATCTCCCTAATCCCCCTCCCATCTGGCCCCTGTCAAAATGTTTTCTGTATCTATGAGTCTTTCTGTTCAGTGTCATTTCTTTTGTGTTTTAGATTACAAATAAGTAATATCATATGACATTTGTCCTCATGTCTCTGACTAAAATCACTCAGTAAAATATCCTCCAGGTCCATCCATGTTGTTGTAGATGCCAGTATTTCATTCTTTTTTTTTTTTTTATATGACTGAGCCATATTCCATTGTATACATATACCAGTTCTACTTATCCATTCATCTGTTGATGGACACGTGGGTGACTTCATATCTTGGTTTTTGTAGATAATGCTACAATAAACAACATATGGATGCATGTGTATTTTCATTTTAATGTTTTAGGTTTCTTTGAATAAATACCCCTAAGTGGAATTACAACATCTTTCTTTGTCTCTGGTTATATTAAGGTCTGCTTTGTCTGGTATAAGTATTTCTACCCCACATCCTTTTTTTTGTTTGTTTGTTTCCATAAAATACATTTTCCATCCATACACTTTTTCAGTCTGTATATGTCCCATATGTCTTTTGATTGGGACATTTAAAGTAATAAATATGTATTTATTACCATTTCATTGTTCATATTTTCCAACTTTTTAAATTCTTCTTCTGGTTTGGTGGTGATGAACTCCTGTAGCTTCCTCTTGTCCTGGAGTCTCTTTATCTGTTCTTTGATTCTAAATGGTAGCTTTGTTTGGTAGAGTAATCTTGGTTGTAGGTTCTTGTTTGTTTTTAATCACTTTGAATATTTTGTTCCAATTCTTTCTGCCCTGCAAAGTTTCTGTTGAGAAATTAGCTGATAGTCTTACGGGGCTTTCTTTGTAGAAAACTAGCTCCTTTTGCTGCCTTTAAGAATCTGCATTTAAAGAGTTTTTAAACTTCGATATTAACTATGATATGTCTCAGTGTGGGCCTCTTTGGGTTCATCCTGTTTGGGACTCTCTGCACTTCTTGTACTTATATGTCTATTTCCTCACCAGATTTGGAAATTTTTTGTTATTATTTTTTCAAGTAGGTTTTCAATTTAATGCTCTGTCTTCATTTTAAGGGAGACACCCCCTTGATGTGAATGGTAATACACTTAATGTTATCTTAGGCTCATTAGACTATCCCTCAGTTTTTTGGATTCTTTTTTCTTTTTGCTGTTTTGACTGTTATTTGCTTCTTTATCTTCCAGTTTGCTGGTTTGATTCTCTGCTTTAGCAACTCTAATGTTGATTCCCTTTAATATATTGTTCATTTCAGTTACTGTATTTTTCATTTCCAACCAGTTTGTTTTTGTATTTTATGTTTCCTATCCCTTATTGAAGTTCTCATTGAATTCATCTACTCTTACCCTAAGTTCCTTGAGTATCCTTTTAACCAGTGTTTTGAACTCTGCGCCTGATAGATTGCTTGTTTCCATTTTGTGTAGTTCTTCTGGTGTTTTGTTTTATTGTTTTATTTAGGACATACTGATTTGTCTTCTCATTTTGTCTGCCTCCAAGTGCTTTTTCTACATATTAGGTAGAGGTGCTACCTTTCCTGGTCAAGGTAGAGTGGCCTTACATAGTAGAAGTGCTCTGGGGGTTTAGTGGCAGAGCCACCCTGGTCACTTACGTTGGGTGCTTCAGGTGTGCCCTGCCCTGTACTGTGCATCCTCCTGTTGTAGTTGAGCCTTGACTGTTGTTGGCAAGTCAGTGGAAGGGATTTACTCCCAGGCCATTTGGCTGCAAGGACCATCCACAGCTATAATGGAAGACGTGCTGTGTAGCATCCAACTCCATCGAGCAGAACTCACTTCAGCAAGGCTCAGGTGCCCAATGAGTTCACCCTTTGAATATGTTGCTCATGGACGTAGTTGTGTGGTGCTCTCTCTTGGTCTGGAACTCTCCCTGGTGTGCTTACTTTGGGACCTTATGAGATGAGCAGACTAAGATCAGTTGCTGCCTATGCCCTGCTTTAAAGCGATCTGCTTAAGGCTGCTACTTGTGCTGGGCTTCGGAGGTGATGGGGAGCGCCCATGCTGCAAACTGAGGCCAGTGTCACAATTTCCTGTCAAGAGGTACGGGGACATGCTGAAGCCAGATCCTGCTTGTTCAGTGTTTGTGAACCTTTGACAAATTTTAGGAAAGTTCTTAGCATGAGCCAAGACAGGCCGTTTGTATGTAAAAGCCACTGGAAGTTGCTTGGGTGGGCTCACAGTTGGTAGGATGCAGTTTCAGGGAATCACCAGGGCATGGTGATAGTCTTAGGTTTATAGAGACTCATATGGTTCTTGACTGCAGGCTCTTATCAAGAGGGTTCAGTAAGGAACAGTAACTTCTGCCAGTACTTTTGTCTGGGTAATAGCTGCTATTCCAGTACTCACCCCAAATCCAGACAATTTATTTGCTCCTTGTGTGTCCCTGGTGCCTTTTGAGCTGCTGCCCCAGCGCTGCAGCTCAGAGCAAGTGAGTCTGTGTGTGGGCCCTTTAAGAGGAACACCTGGGATTCCAGCAACCTCCCGTCTTAATCCCTGCTGGTTTTGATAACCAGAATTTATGGGGACTTCTCTTTCTGGCCCTAGAACTCTGGCTGGGGAGTCTGGTATGGGGTTGAGACCCTTAGCTCCTCAGGGGGACCTCCACAGTTGAGGTATCCCTCCTGATTTTTCATATGTGGGTATGGGACCAGCTCACTCTATCTCTCTGCCCCTCTTACCAGTTTAGATGTGGTTTCTTTTATATATCCTTAGTTACAGGACTTCTGTTCAGCTAGATTTCAGGTGGTTCTGAATAGTGATTTTTTGAAGTTGTAATTTTTATGTGATCCTGGGAGGATATGAGTACCATATTTACCTACTCTGACATCTTAACTGGAAGTCCAGCACATCAGATACTAATTACCATTTTAATTAGTCTTTTTTCTTTCTTGTTATGAAGAGTGGCAAAGGTTCTTTTATCTACTTACATTTGTACCTATGAAGGACGTAGGATATATTCTAGAAATGGAATTACTTATTCAGAATGAATATGAATTTTATTTTGAGTAGATAAAGTAATTGTCCTAAAATAGTCATATAAGTTTTAACTTTTTCCACACCCTTATTAATTTTGGGTAGTATAAAATGTCTTTGTATAAGAAATTATTTGTAAAGGTTACATATTATTATGTTACCATTACAGTTTCTATCTATTTTCCTATTGTTGGAGATGTAATAGAAATAATGCTACAGTGTTCATACACATGAATGTTGAATCATTTGATCAGGTGGATTTTAACTACAACTTGCTTCTGAAAGAAGCCAACTTGAAACAACATCTTTTTCCTTTGAAGGTATCCATTATCAAAAAACCACCTGAAAATGGACAAGTCGAGTCAATGGAAGATGACACTGATGAAAATGATTACCCTGCTAGTAGTGTTAGTGATGCAAATGAATCTGGAGAGAACCAGCTTAGTATTGGTAAATATATATTTAAAATAATTGGATTTCTTTTACCTCTTCATATTGATTTGGTATTCATAAAAGCCTTGTAGTTACTTAGTTTATGCTTGTTTTATTTCCTTTTGGTGTAGTCTGTTAGTATTGGGGTTTTTTCCTGTAATTTTTATATTCTCTAATTTTTAATTGAATTTATTAGTTTTCTGTTCTTCATTGGGAAAATTAACATGATACCTAAAAAAATCTCTTTAAAAAGAGAGTGATGAAGTATTCATAATGCCATCCCTTTTAATCTTTTTCTGTTATTTTGCTGTAGCCCCTTGGAAAATTGTAATCAGCATTGACTTTCATGTGTTTTTGATACCTTGTTTTCTTGTAACATTAATTATAAGCCTTTTTTCATTTAGCTACTTGTATTGATAATCATACTTTTTAATGGCTCCATAATATCTCAGTTAACATATATACTGTAATTTACTTGACCATTGTTTACTGTTATGAATTTAGATTCCTATATTTTCCTACAATTAACAGTACTGCAGTGAATGTTTGTCTTCATAGATTTATCCATAGGTCATTTCTTATGATAGAATCCTACAGTAACCTTTTATGAAGAATTTCAAAGCGTTTAGTGTATAATCATTTTAACCAATGGAAATGGTTTTGTTTTTCATATACTTTTATCTTTTTTGTTTATTTTGATAGGATATTTGAGTTAATAATCAGTGTATGTGGTTCTTGTGCTTGTCTCTTAGTTTTAGTAATTGCTCTTTATTTTTAGGTGCCGTGAGTCCTTTAGCTGAAGAACATCTGTCAAAGCAAGATCTACTTTTTTTAGACATGCTCAAGTTCCTTTGTGTGTGTGTAACTACTGCTCAGACCAGTACTGTGTCATTTAGAGCAGCTGATATTAGGAGGAAACTGTTATTGTTGATTGATTCCAGCATCCTAGACCCTACTAAACCTCTGCACCTACACATGGTGAGTTAAATGAAATGAAGGTTCTCTTCAGTTCTGTCTGACTTTGCTGCTAAATATAATGGACTGACATAAGAATCAAATAGTACCTTTACAGACTTGAAACTGCTTTCTTGAGAAATGAATCTGAGCCTGATATAAATATACTTTTTATTTTAATGTGCTGTTTAAAGAGAATGTAAGTGGATACTGAAACATTAAAACTTAGATGGTCTTTGGATAGATTTATTATTTTAGGTATGCTTTATTTTGTATTTTTTAAATTTTTTTATTACTATTTTTCTTAATATCTGAAGACCTTTATTTTTAAAACAGACTCAATATCTTACACCATTAATGATACTAAACAAAGACACAGCAGAAAATTGGTGTTGCAAACAATGACTTTTTTTCTCTTTATGTACGTTCTTTTGTTTTAATTAATTAATTAATTTTTCCAAATACATTTGTCTCTGCCTTCCCCCCACCACTTTCCCCTGCCCTCTCCCCCCTCTCCCTCCCTCAGTCCTTCCCTACTTTGGTTTTGTCCATGAGTCCTTGCTATATGTTCCTTGACTTGCCCCTTCCATTCCTTTTCCCCCACCCACCCACCCCTTCCTCCTTCCCTCGTCTCTGATAGTTTCTTTTCCTTTCACTGTTGCTGGTCATATTTTCCTTGCATCTTTGTATTATTGGTTAGGTTCTGCTTAGAGGTGAGATCATATGGTATTTGTCTTTCGCCCCTTGGCTTATTTCGCTTAGCATAATGCTCTCTAGTTCCATCCATCCTATCGCAAAGTGTAGTACTTCTTTTTTCTTTTTGCTGCGTAGTATTCCATTGTGTAAATGTACCATAATTTTTTGATCCACTCATCTACTGATGGGCATTTAGGTTGCTTCCAACACTTGGCTGTTGTAAATGGTGCTGCTATGAACATTGGGGTGCATAGGTTCTTCTGAATTGGCGTTTTGGGATTCTTAGGGTATAGTCCCAGCAGGGGAATCACTGGATCAAAAGGCAGTTCCATTTTCAGCTGTTTGAGGAAATTCCACATTGCTTTCCACAATGGCTGCACCAGTCTGCATTCCCACCAACAGTGGACTAGGGTTTCCTTTTCTCCACAGCCTCGCCAGCACCTGTTGTTTGTTGATCTGTTTATGATGCCATTCTGACTGGTGTGAGGTGGTACCTCATGGTGGTTTTGATCTGCATTTCTCTGATGGCTAGTGATGCCGAGCATCCTCTCAAATGTCTCTGGGCCCTCTGCATCTCTTCCTTGGAAAAGCGTCTGCCCAGGGCCTTTGCCCATTTTTTGATTGGATCGTTTGTCTTCTTGGAGTGGAGTCGTGTGAGTTCTTTATATATTTTGGAGATCAAACCTCTATCTGATATATCATTAGCAAATATATTTCCCATACAGTTAGCTCCCTTTTCATTTTGCTGCTGTTTTCTATAGCCATGCAGAAGCTTCTTATTTTGATGATGCCCCACTTGTTTATTCTTTCCTTTATGTCCCTTGCTTTAGGAGACATATCAGTGAAAAAATTGCTGCGTGGGATATCTGAGAGTTTCCTGCCAATGTTCTCCTCTAGGACTTTGATGGTGTTGCGACTTACACTTAAGTCTTTTATCCATCTTGAGTTTATTTTTGTGTATGGTGTCAGCTGATGATCCAATTTCAATGTTTTGCATGTAGCCGTCCAGTTCTCCCAGCAGCATTTGTTGAAGAGGCTATTATTACTCCATTTTATGTTTCTGCCCCCTTTATCAAATATTAGTTGCCCATGTAGACCTGGGCTTATTTCTGGGCTTTCTGTTTTCTTCCACTGATCTATGCGTCTGTTCTTGTACCAGTACCAGATTGTTTTGAGTATAAGTGGCTTCGTAGTATAGTTTGATGTATGGTATTGTGATCCCTCCTACTTTGTTCTTCTTTCTCAAAATTGCTGCAGCTATTCAGGGTCTTTTATCGTTCCATATAAATTTTTGAAATGTCTGTTCTATTTCTGTGAAATACGTCATGGTATCTTAATAGGGATTGGGTAGAATCTATAAATTGCTTTGGGTAGTATGGACATTGTGATGATGTTAATTCTTCCAATCCATGAGCACGGTATATGCTTCCATTTATTTGTGTCTTCCTTAATTTCTTTCTTCAATGTTGTATAGTTTTCTGCATACGGATCTTTTACCGCCTTGGTTAAATTTATGCCTAGGTACTTTATTTTTCTTTTTGCTATATCAAATGGTTTTTGTTTTTGTTTTTTTTTTCAGATTTCTTCTTCTATTTCATTGCTGGTGTACAAAAATGCCTTTGATTTCTGAATATTGACTTTGTATCCTGCTGTTTTGCCAAATTCACTTATTAGCTTGAGGAGTTTTTTGGTGGAGTCTACAGGGTTTTCTGTGTACACTATCATGTCATCTGCAAACAATGATAGCTTTACTTCCTCCTTTCCTATTTGGATGCCTTTTATTTCTTTTTCTTGTCTGACCTCTGTGGCTAGGACTTCATATACGATGTTGAAAAGAAGCAGTGAAAGCGGACATCCTTGTCATGTTCCCGACCTTAGTGGGAAAGCTTTCAGTTTTTGCCCATTGAGTATGATGTTGGCTGTAGGTTTTTCATATATGGCCTTAATTACGTTGAGGAATGCCCCATTTATTCCCATTTTGCTGAGCGTTTTGATCATGAATTGGGTGCTGTACTTTACGAATGCTTTTTCTGCATCTATCGAGATGATCATGTGGTTTTTGTCTTTTCTTTTATTTATGTGATGTATTACGTTTATTGATTTGCGTATATTGAACCAGCCGTGCATCCCTGGGATGAATCCCACTTGATCGTGGTAGATAATCTTTTTATGTATTGCTGGCTGCAGTTTGCCAATATTTTGTTGAGGATTTTAGCATCTATGTTCATCAGCGAAATTGGCCTGTAGTTTTCTTTCTTTGTAGGGTCTTTATTTGGATTTGGGATTAGGGCGATGCTGGCCTCATAAAAAGAGGCTGGGAGTCTTCCCTCCTCTTGGATTTTCTGTCATAGTCTGAGAAGGACAGGGGTTAGCTCTTCCTTAAATGTTTCGTAAAATTCTCCTGGGAAACCGTCTAGCCCAGGGCTTTTGTGTGCCAGGAGTTTCTTGATGACTGCCTCAATTTCCCCAGCTGTTATCGGTCTGTTCAGGCTTTGTGTTTCTTCCTTTTTCAATGTAGGAAGATTATACTTTCCTAGAAATTTGTCCATTTCATCGAGGTTTTCAAATTTCTTGGCATATAATTGTTCATAGTCGTTTCTTACAATCCTTTGTATTTCTGTGGTATCAGTTGTTATTTCTCCTCTTTTGTTTCTGATATTAATTATTTGGGTCCTCTCCCTTTTTTTCTTGATGAGGCTGCTTAAAGGCTTGTCGATTTTATTTATCTTTTCAAAGAACCAGCTCCTGGATTGGCTGATCCTTTGAATTGTTCTTTTGGTCTCTGTGTCATTCAGTTCTGCTCCAATCTGGACTATTTCCTTCCTTCTACTTGCTCTGGGATTTTTGTTGTTGCTTCTCCAGTTCTTGAAGTTGTAGTGTTAGGTCTTTTATATGAAATGTTTCTGTCCTTTTTAGGTAAGCCTGTATTGCTATGAACTTCCCTCTCAGGGGCAGCTTTGCTGTGTCCCATAGGTTTTGGACTGTTGTCTGTTCATTTTCATTTGTTTCCAGAAACTTTTTGATTTCTTCTCTTATCTCATTATTGACCGATTCATTGTTTAATAGTCTACTGTTCAGTCTCCATGAGTGTGCAAGTTTCTGAAGTTTCTCTTTGAGGTTGATTTCCCGTTTCAAGCCCTTGTGGTCCGAGAAAAAGTTTGGTATTATTTCAATTTTCCTGAATTTGCTGAGGCTTGCTTTGTGTCCTATCATGTGGTCTATCTTTGAAAAACTTCCACGAGCATTTAAAAAGAGTGTATATTTTGCTTCTTTGGGATGTAAGGTTCTATATATGTCAGTTAAGTCTATTTGATTCAGTGCGTCGTTCAGCTCCACAATATCCTTGCTGATGCTTTGTTTGGAAGATCTGTCCCTTTTTGACAGTGGGGTGTTGAGATCCCCTACTATCAGTGTGTAGTTGTCTATATCTTTTTGGAAGTCACCCAAGATTTTCCTTATATCCTTGGGTGTTCCTATGTTGGGTGCATATAAGTTTACAGTGTTTATGTCTTCTTGATAGAGTCTTCTTTTAAATATTATAAAGTGTCCCTCTGGGTCTCTTTTTATGGCCTTTGTTTGGAAATCTGTTTTGTCTGATATAAGTATTGCAACCCCTGCTTTCTTCTCTTGCCCATTTGCTTGGAATATTTTTTTCCATCCCTTTACTTCAATCTGTGTGGGTGTTTTGCTCTAAGGTGGGTCTCTTGTAGGCAGCATATGTGTGGGTCATGTTTTCTTATCCATTCAGCTATCTTGTGTCTTTTGATTGGGGCATTTAGTCCATTTACATTGAGAGATATTACTGATAGAAACCTATTCATTTTTTCTCCTTGTACCTGTGTTTGTCTCTTTCTCACTCTTCTCCTTCATCTTCTTAAACCAGTCCCTTTAGCATATCTTGGAGTGCTGGTTTGGTAGAGATGTATTGTTTTAGCCTTCTTTTGTCTGGGAAACTCCTTATTTCCTCTTCTGTTTTAATTGAGAGCCTCGCTGGGTAGAGCAGCCTTGGTTGTAGGCCCTTGCTTTTCATGACTTGGAATTTTTGTTGCCATTCCCTTCTGGCTTATAGTGTTTCTGTTGAGAAGTCAGCTCCTAGCCCTATCGGGGCCCCCTTGTATGTTACTTTCTCCTTCTCCCTTGCTGCCTTGGGGATTCTCTCTTTGCCTTTGATAGTTGCCATTTTAATGATGATGTTTCTTGGAGTGGACCTCCTCGGGTCCCTCTTGAGTGGGGCTGTCTGTGCCTCCTGTATCCATGAGACCTTTTCTCTCCTCCAGTTTTGGAAGTTTTCCATCATTACTTTTTCAAAGAGGTTCTCTATCCCTTACTCCTCTTCTTCTCCTTCTGGTATCCCTATTATACGGATATTATTGCATTTCAGGTTGTCCTGCATTTCCCTAAATGCCTCTTCATTCTTTTTGAGTCTTTTTTCTATTTCTTGTTCTTTCTGGGAGCTTTTTTCTACCTTATCCTCCGTCTCACTGATTCGATCCTCGGCTTCATCCAGCCTGCTTTGGATTCCATCTGCTGTGTTCTTGCGTTCACAAATGGTATTCTTCATATCCTCTTGTGTCTTCTTGATAGTTTCTATGTTCTTTTCCAGATTGATATAGTTTGCTGTAAGATCCTGGTAGTTGCTCTGCAGTTTTTCATAGTTATCTTTGAGCTTCCTTAGAACCATTGTTTTGAATTCAGTATCTGATAGTTTACTTGCCTCTATTTCATCTAGCTCTCTCTGTGGGTGTTCCTCCTTTCCCCTCACTTTGGGGGGAACTCGTTTTTCTCCCCATTTTTGTTAGAGTGTATTATTTTTTATTCATTCATTTATTTATTTTTGCTTTTGCTTCAATTGATCCATCTGGATTTCCTGACTTTGTGGATTAAACTTCTATGGTAGTAGGTGGGTCTTGTTATTTATTTATTTATTTATTTATTTATTTATTTATTTATTCTTTACTCTTCTTTCTGGGCCTGCCTCTGATGATGTCAGTTGTTGATCCTATATGACCTTGGGTCATTTTTGAGCCTTCCAGGAATCTGTCTCTGTCTGACTCTTGCTTTGGACAGCTCTGTGACGCCTGCGGCCAGGGAACCGTATTTCTGTGGATTGCTCTGCACTCTCTTGCCGGCTCCTTGAGCGCCCTCCCTGGCCCTGGCAGGATCCCCCGCTGGCCCGGGAGCGCCTGCACTCCGACCTGGGTGGGTGCATTCGCCCTGCCTGGGTTGGCATACTCGCCCAACCTCACGTGCTTGCCTGCCACCCCGTGTGCACCCCAGCACTGGTCAGTTTAGGGTCTTATATTGTGTGCTTTCCCCACTTTTGGCTCTTTGGGGGTGTGGCCTGCTCACACAAAATGGAGACTACGGAAATGGGAAGAAGTCAGCTCCGGGACTCTCCAGTTAATCCTGTCTCTAGTCTCTCCCCAAGGGTCTCTGGGCAGCTCTGTGACCCCTTCGGGTAGGGATCCCCTATTTTTGCAGACTGTAATCGCGCACCTTCTGGCTCACCCACCCGCTTCTGCCTCTTTGGGGGCGTGGCCTGCCTGTGCAAATGGAGATTCCGGAATGGGGAGGGACTCTGCTCCAGGGATCTCGGATAATCCTCCAGTTCTTTCCCTAACCCCTCTGTCTCCAGTCTCTCCTCAAGGGTCTCTTTGCAGCTGTGTGTCTCCTTTGGCCAGGGATCCTCTATTTCTTCGAGCCCGTCTGCACTCAGCCCCTAGCCCACACCACACAAGCTGTGTGCTGAACGCACAAAAGGCAGATTAATTTATTCTCTTACGCCTGGGTGAGGTAGTAGCTGCAGAGTGGGAGGTGAGTTACCACCGGGGCTCCACTGGCCACAGTCTCTGTTCTCTTAACAAGGTTTTCCTCGCCAATCTTTCCTCAGGCCCCAGCCCACTCTGTTGCCGCTTCTACCCAGAGATCAAGGAGGGCGGCTGCCACTGCCAATTTTTGCATTGGCCCTTTAAATGTCTCTTTACATCTCCAGCTGCCTGTCTCTGGCAGAGAGCTCCCCTTAAGCTTTTCAAGGTTGCGTTTTGTCTTTGTGTTTTTTGGTTTCAGCTGCTGTAGTCTAGGGGTCCCTGTTTATGGTTCATACTCTGTTCTTAGGGGGATCCAACTGGCCGTTTCAGTGTCCCTCTGGTACTGGTGCCCATGGGCACCGAGCCCACCCTCTTGAGCCCCCACCGCACTTCTCACCTGTTAGGATATATGAAAGTTGATTCCACTGTCTGTTCGCAGCTCCAAGGCTCCTCACCCTCTATCGTTCCATTGTTTTCCAGGTGATTTCTCCACTATTTAGTTGCAGTTCTAGTTTGGTCTTGGGAGAAGGTCTGCGTGACTCCCATTCACTCCTCCGCCATCTTTCCACTCAATTTTTTTTTTTTAAGTAGGCCAAGAAACCCAGATTCTAAAAGTAAAAGTAATGCTTACATAACATTTCAGTTGAAGCCTGAATCTTGCCTTGACCTTAGTTTTAATGCTTTTAATTTTTTGATGTAATTTCAAAGTGACAGTAAAGTTACAGTCCTACAAGGTCTTCATATTCCCTTCATGAGCTTCTACAGTTAACATTGATCACATTTGCTTTATCATTCTCTTTCTCTACACACACATACATCTTTTTTCCTGAATCATGTTGAGGTTAGGTTGCAGATGTGTTGCCTATTATACTCTAGGGTATATGTCCTATAACATGGTATAATCATCAGGAATATAACATTGTATTATTGCAGTTAGTTTTCAGGTTTGTTCAGGCTCTTTCTTTTTGGAACAGTTCCTTACTCTTTCCTTATCCTTTCTGATCTTCCTATTTTTTAATAGTATAGTCACTTGTTATTTAGAGTTTCCCACTTTGAGTTTATCTGTTGTTCCCTCAGGATTAGATTTAGATTTTGACTTTAGTGAGAATATTAAAGATGTAATTCCTCTCCTATACTAACCCCCTCAATCTATTCAGCTCTTTATTAATAGGTATCTCCAATTCCAATCCAACAACATAGGATTTATTTATTTATTTAATTTTCCCCCTCGGTTTTTTTTGCTCCATCTTTCAACATTAGGAGACCTGGCTTCTCATTTAACCTTAATACATTTAATATTTACTCAATATTCTTACATGTGACTAATCTGACCATATGCGCCATCCCCTTTGCCCTAGCCATGCTGAACATGGGAGAGTCCCTGACCCAGCAAATTGACAAACATGTCAGGCAATTTTTCCAGTCAGTACTGTGGGAAACATGCCAGGTCATCCAATAATTAGAATGTCTTGGAAACATGCAGGTTGAGTCTCTGTTAGAATTCTTGGTCACGTCTCCAGCCCTGACCAATGAGCAAGGCTGTGTGCTCTTCTTGATGTTTTGATGTTTAAGGCACTGCAGGACACTCAGTAACATCATACACATCACTTTCATTTTAAAATATTTAAAATGATCCAATATAATGTTTTTTCATAATATGTGAATGGGAGTAAGAAACATTTTTCCACGTAAAGATAAGGAAAAAAACTTCTAGTTTTTTTTACTAGATCCAGGAGATTATGTGGCAGCTCTCAGAAACAGTTATATTACCATTGAGAGCCTTGCCAGATTGCCTTATAGGAAGATAGATCAGTGTATTTGACTTCTTCCTGCCCACAATTATCTCTACTTTCTAAGATTTATTAATAGAATAGTTTTTAAACGTTGAAGTCTTATCCCTAAGCATTATTTTGGGAGAGCAGAAACATCAGTTCCAGATTCTTATTCAGTCTCTTGACCCCAACAATGATAACAACTATCATTTACTGAATTCCTACAATAGATGCAGTTCCTACATTTACTGAATTCCTACAGTAAATGGTTTTACATTCATTTCGTTTAATCCTCATAGTAATCCGGACAGGTGTTATATTCCCATTTTACAGGTGAGGGTACAAAGGCTTAGACGACAAGGCAAGTTTTTTAACCACACAAGTAGTAAGTTTTGTTAGGATTTGAATCCAGCTATGTTTTACTTCAAATCTTTTCATTTTTTTAATTATCCTGCCTTTTAAAAGAATTGACTAGCCAAGTATGTGTGCATGTGCATGTATGTATATATGCATGTATGGGTCTTTATATGAATTTTTGATTACATATATACTTAAGTAAGTGACATCTTTTTAAAAAACTGATTTCCCTCCCAACTGTCTTAGTATCTGGTGCTTTTAAAGGAGCTTCCTGGAGAAGAATATCCTTTGCCAATGGAAGATCTTGCTGAACTTCTGAAACCACTATCGTAAGAAATTGAAACCATGTTTTATGTTTACTTTAAATTTATCAACTGAATGATGTGTTCTGTTATGCTTATCAAGTTAAACTTTCCCTCCATAGCAATGTGTGTTCTTTGTATCGCCGTGACCAAGATGTTTGTAAAACAATTTTAAACCACACCCTTTACATAGTGATGAACTTATGTCAAGGCAGTGTGGATGCTGAGAACACAAGGGATGCTCAAGGACAGTTTCTAACAGTTATTGGGGCATTTTGGTAGGTACAGATTATTCTGTATTCTTATTTTCCTTTGGCTTCTGATACAGATGCAAATTTTGCATTTATGTGTTAGTGATTTCTTCTAATCCTTACATGTAACTGTATACATCTTTTAACAATAGTAGAATGTAATTTGTGTTTTCGTCCTTAATTTCTTGAGTATTACATTGTCTTTCTCTTAATACTTGGCTTTCTAAAGTGTGTTTAATGTATTTCCCTGCGAATTTTGAATCACTTAGTAGTTTGGCATGTGTAGTGAATAAAGCAAAATGTAACAAGTCTCAATCAGTTGAATCATTCATGGCCCTAAAATGAACAAATTGGCCTTGTCACTGTTTATTTCATGTATATAGTCAAAGTGTGAAATACCACCATGACACTTAATAGAGGAGCACATATATATAATTTAGAGCATTTGATAAGGACTTGTAAATCAATATAGAATATGGTTTTGAAATCTTTACTATAACAACAAAGACTTTAATAATCTTTCCCTCTAGATTAACTTGGTTAGCTAAAGTAAGAGAGCCCCTATATGAGGCATAATGATATAAATGTAATAATATACATTAAAATGAACTTGTAGCATTTCTTTTAGCTGAAATTTGTTTGGAAGGTTGAGAATAATGGCATATGCCACATGATGAAAATTAAAGTTAGCATGGAAAGAAATTTCGGAAATAACCTAAATTAACCCTAATGTCCACTGAATTTTTTTTTAACTGTCCTTTTATTGGAATAAATACTTGACATTGAAACACTTTATTTCAGGCACCTAACAAAGGAGGGAAAATGCACATTCTCTGTAAGAATGGCCCTAGTAAAATGCCTGAAAACTTTGCTTGAGGTGAGTTTCTCCATGTTAAGTAGTAGTAAGATTTCCATAATTAAAAAAAAATTTTTTTAAGCAGCCTTTTTTTCTGTTTGTTATGGGGTGATTTTTTGCTTAGTAGTTCATATTTAACCAAAAATGTTCTTTTTTCCATAGGCTGATCCTTGTTCAGAATGGGCTATTCTTAATGTAATGGGTAAAGATTTTCCTGTAAATGAAGTATTTCCACAGTTTCTTGCTGATAATGATCACCAAGTTCGCATGTTGGCTGCAGAGTCAATCAATAGGTAATGAGTCAGGTATTTATGAAATGTCTGGGTGCTGCAGATATCAGTGCAATGTCTAGGATAGTCATAGGTTACTAGTTGTGCTATTGAAAATAGCTGACACAGCTCTGACCAGCATGGCTCAGTTGGTTTGGCATCGTCCCACAAAGTGAAGGGTCATTAGTTCCAGTCCCGGTCAGGACACATGCAGGGGTTGCAGGTTTGGTCCCCCAGTTGGGGTACGGGCAAGAGGCAGCCAGTTGATGTGTCTCTCCCTCTCTTTTTCCTTCCCTTCTTCTCCCTTTAAATACAGATAAAATATTTTTAAAAATAACTAACACTATATGTAAACTATAATTAAAAATAAATGAAAAAATAGTTAACACTTACTGAGCATATACTGTGTGACTGGCTTTCAGGTTTTCTGTTAATTGTGACAAATCTATCAATTAGATACTATTATTATCCCCATTTTATAAATGAAAAGTCTGTGGCTTAAAAAGTAACTTGCTCATTGCCACAAAGCTTGTGAGTGGTTGAATAGAATAAGGTGTGTCTACTATCACTTATGGGAGATATAGAATGTTTGAATATCATTTTGATTTTATATAGGTTTGTTAAATGAAAACTAGTATATTTTACATTGTGCTAATTATATTTATTCAAGTGAATATACTGTTAGGCATGGGAATGATTATATTATAGGGAATGTTTTTATGTTTGAATAGCTAAAGAAGCAAATACTAGTTCCTTAAAGACTGAATGTTTATAAAGTTATCAAATTGATATTAAAACTAAATTGTAACCTACCTGTACCTTTCCCACCTTGCACTCCCTGTAAATAAAGTACCTGTCTGCTTTATATTTCTCTATAGCACTATCACCACTTGAAATGCTGTAGTTTAACACATTTACCTAGGATAATGAGCTCCTAGATGTCATTGTATTTTGTTGATTTAGCATCTAAAGTAATAATTGCTATGTGGTAGGTATTTAACAATTTCTAAAATCAATGAATATTTGAAAAAAAAATTCCATTATACTTTGAAAACATTGAAGCTGGAAATCATTTGAGTAACTTTGCTATTCACATTTAAGAGACCCAGAATTAAAAATCACTGTAAAGATACTGTTCCAGCAGTTACATAAACATATGTTAGATAGCCTGATGTGTCCAAAGTTTGAATATGCTGACAGTAATGTTTGTATAAATCAGAATTGTGTCTAACTCCTCAGCTTTAGGACTCTTCAGGAAAACCGTGGTACATTGTAAGGTTGCTAACATGGGCTTTATTTCATGTCCTTAGGCTAGGATAGAGAATACATCCTGAAGTTCAAGTCCTGAGGCTATAATCAGAGAAATAAAGAAAAAACTGATGCTTGCCAGAAGGATAGGTGGTGAGGAAATGGATGAACAAGGTTAAGGGGAAGGAGAAGTACAAAATTCCAGTTATAAAATAAATAGCCACTAAGATGTAGTATACAGCTCAGGGAATATAGTCAATAATATTGCAGTAACTTTGCATGGTGACAGATCATTTCTACACTTAGTGTGATGATACCATTATAAGGTATATAAATATTGAATCACTATGTTGTACACCTGAAACTAGTGTAATATTATATGCAAACCATACTTTAATAAAAAAATTATAAGAAATTTTTAAAAGATGGAGGTGTAGAGGATCGTAAGTTGAATATAATAAAGCAGGTAATAGATTAGCATTCAACAGTCTGTTAGGATTCAAAGTATAAATTTAAGAATGGCATGAACTTATCATTTGCTGATTTCTTTAAGTGTTTACTTGTTGTATATCTAGTATTTGGCAATTTTAAGAGAGATTTAATAAAGTAGAGGAATCAGGGGAACACCAAAAAGTTTTAAAGTCTTGGCAGTAAAAGAGCATAAAGGACAAAATTTATTGGAGAGTTGTCCTTAAATATACTTAGGTTATTCTTTAAAAGGCACTGGTCTCCATCAGATAAAAAATTTAAGTGCAACAGCAAGGCTTTCAGGATGATTGAATAGTAGAGCAGGTTGATGTAAGAGTCTCTGGCTCCTTCTAATTGGCATTTGACCACAGGACAGTTTCTTTTCTGGGTAGTATGAGTTCAGGCCTATTTAAGTTTGGACAATAAGCTAAAAGAGCTTTTGAGATTCTTTTTGGCTGTAGGAGTAAAATGGAGTATATGGTAAAGACTCTAATATTAAGCAATGGATCTAAACTTCTTTTAAATTGACTCAGATTTTCTCAGTCTTTTGAAAGAAGACCTAGGATGTTAGAATGTCTCACAGAGTAACTTATTTTTGTCCTGTAATATGCTTTGGAAAGTAAAGGTAAAAAAATCATTTCACTTATTGCTTTTTTTTAAAGATTATTTCAGGATATGAAAGGAGCAGGTTCTTCGACATTACTGAAAGCACTTCCTTTGAAGCTCCAGCAAACAGCTTTTGAAAATGTATACTTGAAAGCTCAGGAAGGAATGAGAGAAGTGGTAATTATAGTAATGTATATTTGCTATTGTCATATACTTTCTGTAAATATACCATATATTGCTTTACCAACTTTGGCCTAAGATACTTATACCTGGTAGTTTACAGTATAAAATTAGACTAAAACAACTATATGAATGGATTGAAATCACTATATGTGTAAGTTAGACTTGATTAAATAATGGCAGTTTCCTTTAGTTCAACTTATATGTAGCATTTTTATGGAAAAACAATTTTCTGAGTTTTTTAGAAGTATAAATGGCTTTCTTTTTTATTAAAAAGTCTTTTTTCATAAGATCTTGACGAAAACTAGTTCAGAGAACAGGTGACAATGGGAAGAAATGGATTGAGAAAAATGTTCTATTAGGGAAGATCAAATTATGTTGGTGTTCTTTAGTGAACCTTATGATGTTCATATTTCTCTGTAGAAGAACCATTTTTTTCTTAAAATGCAAATTGTCTTAGTGTTAGAATGGATTTATTTATGCCTTCATTTGTTTGTAAAAAGTGTAGGAGGCAGTTAAGCATATGTCTGTCTATTCTGTGGTAGCATAAGACTGAAAAGGATAGTTGCATGAAAGAATCATAATTTAGAAAAAGATTTCAATAGGTTTGAAAGATGAGTGTAAGTAGTATAAAATTTTTAGAGATAATGTATATTATGCACTTAAAAAGGGAAAATATTAATGTGGCAACAATTCATTTAAAAAAGATGTAAGAGGTATTACATCTTAACACACTATTAATCAACATTGTAATAGTTATTCAAAGAAAGCAAAGTCTGTCTTTGACATCATTGATAGAAGCATATTGTCATGAACAAAGTGACAAAAAGAATTTGATCATTTTAGAGGGCAGCTAGCATGTTGAGTTGAGCTATGAGTAAAAGTAGACTTTTAACTAGGATGTTAGTTTGTAGACCTGTCTCTTATAAGAAATAGGTGGAGTTGACTTAGTGTAGACCTCATAGCTATTTTTAAAAATGTGATTGATTACCATTTAGTAAAAGAATTAGGTACTTAATTTTTCTTGTACCAAAAACCAGAACTAGGATCTGAGACTAGCAGTTTTTTCTAAATGCGCATAGAAACTTATTATCAAAAAATGTACATATCTTTAGGGATATATAATGATTGAAGCATATATCATTCTATCTAGTGTAATTGTATTGATCCTTTTGGTAACATATGTGATAATATTTTAAAAAGTATGAAGAGCTACATAATGTTATTATGATAATATATTATGAGGTATACTTGGGACTTAAAGAGGAACTTTTAATCTCTCTCACCTTCTTGCAGTTTCTTTTCTTTTTTCTTTGAAGTGCTTTATACCTCACTATTTATATTTAGCAGTTCATTCCATATCTTATCAAAAGCAATCTTTGCCACTCCAGAAACTGATATGTTCTCAAAATATCTACGCTTAGCTTCATCACTGTAGGATTTAATACTTGTTCACAGGTGTCTTAGATGTTGTCATGGTGAACTTTGACTTTAGTCTGGTTTATTTGTAATTTTAAATATTTACATTACATTATTGTTCAAAATTCTTAAGTCCCACAGAGCTGAAAATCCTGAACTTTTGGATGAGATTTATAATAGAAAAGCTGTTCTACTGACGATGATAGCTGTGGTTTTAAACTGTAGTCCTGTCTGTGAAAAACAGGCTTTGTTTGTCCTATGCAAGTCTGTGAAAGAGAATGGATTAGAGCCTCACCTCATTAAAAAGGTACACATGGATGAGTATAATCTTCCTTGGGTAACTTTTAAACAATTAAAAAAGTTAAATTAGAATATCAGAATGGCACTTATCAAAGACTTGGGGACAGTTTTATTTTTTAATAGTGTATTTTAAATAATGTCTTTATTTATATGCTCTGTTATTTCTTGCATTCAGTTTAAGAGCATTTCACAAGGCATACATTGAACTAACACAGGTGAATGACCTGTTGTCATGCAGACTAGGCCCTGTGGAATAGCATTTATTGAGGGAAAGACATAAAGAAAACAGCAGTAATAGGTGTTTTTCCTTACTGATTCTCGGGCAGGACATTGGGATCCAGCGGGGCCAGGAATCAAATTTTAAAGCTGTTCAGTTGGGTTTTTTCATTGGGTTTAGGACTGGGAAGAAATATTATTTTACTTTAGACCATCCTTTTTGTATTCCTTTGGAATATAATTTGAAAATTGCAAACAAGTTGAAAATTTGTCTGTATTTATTTAACATTTATTAAAGGTTTGCTGCGTGCCAGGTACTATGCTAATTATATTAAATGCAGTTTTCTTTTTTAGACTTGAAGTGCATACTTTTATTATTGCCATCACATAGCTGAATAAATCAAGATATAGAAAAGTTAAATGAATACTTAAGTCATACTGTTAGTACATATTAAGAAAGATTTAAATAACATGTTACCTTGCTGTTTGCTTAAAGAATTTACTTTTTTTTGATTTGTACAGGTTTTAGAGAAAGTTTCTGAAACTTTTGGTTATAGACATTTAGAAGACTTCATGGCTTCTCATTTGGATTATCTGGTTTTGGAATGGCTAAATCTTCATGATACTGAATACAGCTTATCCTCTTTTCCTTTTATTTTATTAAACTACACAAACATCGAGGATTTCTATAGGTAGGTTTACACATGGCACATGTGAAATATGTTTAACTTAAAATTAGGTAATAGAGTTTGGCAATCCCACCTCCACATACATAGACATTGGAGGTTGTATACTATGAGAGGCAGGACAGGTTGTTTTAATGAAAGTATATTGAAGGGAATCACTGGACTTTGGATCTGGTCCTTGCTGTGTCAGTAACCGGTTGTGTAATTTTAAGCAAGTCATGTAACCATCCTTTGGGACATGATTTTTTAAATCTGTGAAGACAGTTAATTTACACGAGATCTTTAATGTTCCTTTCAGATTTAACATTTGTTAATCTTTTCTGTGAAAAGCGAAAGATGAACTACTACTGCTGGTTATTTCTGCCTTGTTTTTATTTTCTGTTGCTTGACTATTGGATGTTTAGTCATTGGTATTTTAATGTAACAGTATTTATTTTGCTAACTAACTCTAGAGTATTTTGAAAATGGAGAGGCTTGAAATAACTAAAGAGTAATTTGTGGTTATCAGGATGAAGGGAAGGAAGTTCATAATTTTTAAGTGGTTTTTATTCATTTAGTTTGTCAATAATATTTATATTTATTCCTTGAATTTATAGATTGCTTTCACATTTCATTTTAAAATAGTTTTATATAAATTACATATGCAGAAGTAGTAAACTTAATTTAATTTCTACCTTTTTTAAGTATATTTTATTGGTTATGCTATTACAATTGTACCATTTTTCTTCTTCCCTTTATTCCTTCCACACTGCACCTGCCATCCCTCCAGCATTCCCCTACCCCCCAGTTCACGCCCACGGGTTGTACATAGAAGTTCCTTGGCTTCTCTATTTCCTATACTATTCTTAACCTACCCCTGTCTCTTTTGTGTCTACCAATTATGCTTCTTATTCCCTGTACCTTTTCCCACATTCACCCCCCATGCCCTCCCCAGCGATAACCCTCCATGTTCTCTCCACTTCTGTGATTCTGTTCCTGTTTTAGCTGTTTGCTTAGTTTGTTTTTGTTTTTTTAGGCTCAATTGTTGATAGTTGTGAGTTTGTTGTCATTTTACTGTTCATAGTTGATCCTCTTCTTTTTCTTAGATAAGTCCTTTTAACATTTCATAGAATAAGGTGATGATGAACTCCTTTAACTTGACCTTCTAAATGATAGCTTTGCTAGGAAGAGTAATCTTGGATGTAGGCCCTTGCCTTCTATGACTTTGAATACTTTTTCCCAGTCCCTTCTTGCCTGTAAGATTTCTTTTGAGAAATCAGTTGATGGTCTTATGGTAACTCCTTTGTAGGTAACTGTCTCCATATCTCTTGCTGCTTTTAAGATTCTCTCCTTTTCTTTAATCTTGGGTAATTTAATTATGATGTATCTTAGTGTGTTCTTCCTTGGATCAAACTTCTTTGGGACCCTCTGAGCTTCCTGGACTGCCTGGAAGTCTGTTTCCTTTGCCAGATTGAGGAAGTTCTCCTTCATTATTTTTTTAAAATAAGTTTTCAATTTCTTGTTCTTCATTTTCTCCTTCTAACACCCCTATGATTCAGATGTTGGACCATTTAAAGTTGTCCCAGAGATTCCTAAGCCTCTCCTCATTTTTTCGAATTCTTGTTTCTTCATTCTGTTCTGGCTGAATGTTTATTTCTTCCCTTTGTTCCAAATCGTTGATTTGAGTCCCGGTTTCCTTCCCTTCGCTGTTGGTTCCCTGTATATTTTTATGTCACTTTGCATAGCCTTCACTTCTTCCTTTATTTTTCGTCCATACTCAGTCTTTTCTGTGAACATCCTGATCACCAGCGTTTTGAATTCTACGTTTGATAGGTCGTCTATCTCCTCGTCACTTAGTTCTTTTTCTGGAGTTTTGATCTGTTCTTTCACTTGCACCATATTTCTTTGTGTCAGTGTACCTGTTACATTGTAAAGGGCAGAGCCTTAGGTCTTCACCAGGGTGAGACAACCCACTTCGCTGTGTTGTGGTGCTGTATGTGGGGGAGGGGTCAAAGGGAACAGTGCCACTTGCTTGGCTCTCACCCCGCTTACAGTCACTTCCTTTGCTTCCATAAGCAGATTGTGTCCTTTCAGGTGCTCATTCCCTGGTGGATGGGCTTGTGTATGTGCTAGGATCCTGTGGGCTTTCCCATGGTCTCTCCTGAGAAACTGGGAGTTTCTCTTGTGCTGCAACCCCCACAGGGTTTTACAGCCTGAGATTTTGAGCCTTTAGCTCTCCATGCCAGAACCCTGGGTTGTGCAGTCTGTCTCTGTCTCGCTCCCAGTTGTTCCTCCCAGGTCATCCACACTTGAATGTGGGACTTTTTGGTCCTCCAGCCACTGCCTTGCTGCACGTCCTATACTTCCGGGCTGCCTGTCTCCGCCCCTCCTACCAGTCTAGATGAATGTTTCTTTAACTCCTTGGTTGTCGGACTTCCATGCAGTTCAATTTTCTGGCAGTTCTTTTTTTTTTTTTTTAAATTGGTTGTTATCCTTCTTTTCTTTGGGCAATGAAGTAAAGTGTATCTACCTTCGTCTCCATCTTGGCTGGAAGTTCCAGTTTCTACTTTTTTGATGATGAAATTAAGGTAGTATATTTTAAGATCTTTCTTTTTTGTGTGACTATTTAGGATTTACTTAATTACTCCATTTATAAAATTAGGGTAAGGGAACAGCAAACTAACATAAGTTAAAATGGTGCCTCCTCTTTTGCACAACCACATCAAAATTACGACTAAACCATAGAACAGTCATCATTCAGAACCAAGAGGTCAAGCTGAATGGAAGTCCTACAACTGCAGAATTAAAGAAGAAACCAACTATGAAATTAAAGAAGCAACCACATCAAGACTGGAAGGAGAGGCAGAGATGCAGAACTAGCTGGTTGTACACCCATGAGTGGTGGATAAAAACTGATGGGATATCTCAGGATTGCAGAGTCCAAGCCCAGCACTAGGCTCCCTACACCAGGGTTCAAGTGCTAGGAAGATAAGTCTCCATAATTTCTGGCTGTTAAAACCAGTGGGGATTGAGACTGTGGAACATTGAGCTGCTGGAACTTCAGGCAGTTCCTCTTAAAGGGCCCCATGCACAGACTTCTTTGGACTCACTCCTTCTGAGCTGTAGCATGTGGGGCAGAAGATTGAAAGACATCAGACACTTACAGGGAGAAACTGAATTGTTTTGCATCAGGGTGAGAGCTGAGTGGCAGCTTTCTCCTAGACAGAAGGGTTGGCAAAGTCTACTGTTAATTTTCTGAGCCTTCCCCCTACAGAGCCACAGAGCCCCAGAGCCAGTAGGCAGGCGCAATATCTGAGACTCCATCAACCTGGCTCACAGTGTTTGCTCCACCCTGGTGATTCCCTGAGTCTCTGCCCCACCTGGCTTTTGGGCCCACCTAAGCAGTTTCTAGTGGCTTTTCTATATGAATAGTTTGTCTTGACCCATGCTTCAGATTTTCATAAATTTCCTCAAATAAGCCACATATGGCTTCAGCAAGTCTCGTACCTGTTGCCTCTGGCCTGGCAGTAGCAGCAACTGGCCTTGGTTCACAGCTTGTCCTCACCTGAGAACCCCCAACCCTAGCAAAAATAGCAGACTTCTGCAGATCACTTTGTAGCTTATGTTGTGTGGCCCTGGACATGCCAATAGCAAAAAGGCTCAACCACAACAGAAGGGTGAACACAGCCCACACAAAGGTAGAGGTAGCAGCTCTGCGTAATACATAGGAACAAACACAGGGAGTCCGCCAAAATGAGAAGACAAAGAAACATGGCCCGAATGAAAGAACAGATCAAAACTCCAAAACAGAACTAAACAAAATGGAAATAATCAACTGACCAAATGCAGAGTTCAAAACACTGGTTATAAGGATGCTCAAGGACCTTAGTGAGAACCTCAACAGCAGAAAAAAGATCCAGTCAGAAACAAAGTCTACACTAACTGAAATAAAGAACAGTTTACAGGGAATCAAAAGCAGAGTAGATGAAACCCAGAATCATATCAATGATTTACAATATAGGGAAGCAAAAAACACCCAATCAGAACAGCAAGAAGAAAAAAAGAATCCAAAAAAATGAGGATAATGTAAGGAGCCTCTGAGATAGCTTCAAGCATACTAATGGTCATATCACAGGGGTGCCAGAAGGAAGAGAGAGAGCAAGAAATTGGAAACCTATTTGAAAAAGTAATAATAGAAATCTTCCCTAACTTGGTGAAGAAAATAGACATACAAGTCCAGGAAGAACATAAAGTCTCAAACAAGATGAACCCAAAGAGGCCCACACCAAGACACATCATAATTAAAATGCCAAAGTTAAAGACAAAGAGAGAATCTTAAAAACAAGAGAAAAGCAACTAGTTACCTACAAAGGAACTCCTGTAAGACTATTAGCTGATTCCTCAAAAGAAACTTTGCAGGCGAGAAGGGATTGACAAGAAATATTGAGTGATAAAAAGTAAGGACCTACAACCAAGGTTACCCAGCAAAGCTATCATTTAGAATTGAAGGACCAATAAAGAGCTTCCAAGACAAGAAAAAAAACTAAAGGAGTTCACCACCACAAAACCAGTATTATATGAAATTTTAAAGGTTTTCCTTAAAAAGAAGATAAAAATATGAACAATAAAATGGCAGTAAGTACCTATCTATCAACAATTGATTCCAAAAAACAAAATAAACAAGCAGAGGAGAAACAGGATCATAGATACAGAGACGATTTTGATGACTGTCAGATGGGAGGATGGTTGGGAGTGAGCAAAAGAGATGAGGGGGTTAAGAAGTAGTAATTGATAGTTACAGAGTATTCATTTGTATGTAAAGTATAGCATTGGGAATAGAGTAGCCAATGAACATATATGCATGACCCATGAACGTCAACAGTAGTGTGGGGATTGCCTCAGTGGGTGACTTGGCAGAGGGGAGCAAAGGTGGAAAATTGGGGACAACTGTAATAGCAAAACCATAAAATATAATGTCAAAAATTTAAAAAAGCAAGCTAAACTAAAACTAATAAATTTAGAGTAACAATGCTTCATTTTTATATAAATGATATGGTAATGCTTATTTAAAATGTTTTATTTTAAAAACCATATTATAAAATTTACTATGAAAAGTTATGCAGGATTTATATTTTAAATTTTTATATTTTAGATCTTGTTATAAAGTTTTGATTCCACATCTGGTGATTAGAAGTGACTTTGAAGAGGTGAAGTCCATTGCTAATCTGATTCAAGAGGACTGGAAACGTCTTCTAATAGACTGCTTTCCAAAGATTCTTGTAAATATTCTTCCTTACTTTGCCTGTGAGGTGACAGGAGACACTGGGATGGCACAGCAAAGAGAGAACGCTTCCAAAGTCTATGATATGCTTAAAGATGAAAACTTACTAGGTAAACAGGTATGGCTTCAACTTTAACCTCCATTTTTTCCCTAATTTATCTGAACTATAACTTTAAAATATAAGGCTCTTTTTTCATTTATACAGTTAGGTTGACTATGTGATAATCACTGTCTAGTACAGACCATTAATATTTTGTTTTTATACAGTGTTGTCTCCTGATTGGCTTTTAAATGTTTTTAATCAAAAATTTTTTAAAGATCTCTTGAATAATTTTATTTTTTTTTATTTTTTAAAATTTATTTTAATTGGCAGTAATAATAAGTGCAGGTTAAATTCAAGCAATAGTGAAAAATGTATAGAGAATCTTCCCTATTTCCTCTTCATTCTCATTAAACCCTTTACTTTTCAAGGAAAAAAAAAGTCCCAAATTTCCATACCCTATTCTTTTTTCTATGACTACCTTCTAACATACGGTATAATTTACCCAGGAATTATGTTCATTATTTTTTATCAGTCATTTCTCCTATAACTTATATGAAGATAGTATTTTCTTTTTTCTTTCTTGCTGATGTGTCCCTATCACTTAGTATATATTGAGTATTCATTATTTGATGAATGATGGAGTCAAGGAAAAAGAGTCTTACAATTTTTGTTTTATAGTAATTTACATAAATTATTTGAGGCAACTTATATTAAATCACATATATAGTCTTTTTTATTAAGTTTTTAAAAATTCTATTTATTTTCAGAGAGTGGGGAAGGGAGGGAGGAAAAAAGGATAGAAACATTGACATGAGAGAGAACATCAGTCTGTTGCCTCTCATATGCATCCCAAATGTGGACTGAACCTGCAGCCCAGGAAAGAACCAGGACCAGAAATCAAACTGGTGACCTTTTGCTCTGTGGAATGTCACCCAGCCAATTGAACCACACTGGTCAGGGCCATATGTAATCATTTTTTAAGATCAAAGAGGACTGGTCAGTTTAATATTTTTTTAAATGTAAATAAGGATGATTGACCAAATTTTGTTAACATAAAACTAGAATTGGTTGAACTTTGAGAGCATCCTTTTTTGGTTCCCCAGTTATCTATAGTGAACCACGAAATGTCACAGCAAGTCTTTCAGTTGCCAAGGTGGACCATTGCCAGTGAGAGCTGGTTGTAAGTCTGTAGTCGGGAGGCAAATGGTAGCCAGAGGAGTTCCTTTCCCAAAAGATATTTGCAGCAGAATGTTGACAAACCAAAGGTAATAGAATTTATGAGAGACACACTCTTTGTACTGTCTCCCTCCTAATCTCCTAGCCATAGACTTTTGAGCAGGCCTAGTCTTACATACTTTTTTATGTATTAAGTCAAAAAAATAGCAATTTTAAGAGTCACAGTCTAGGAAGAAATGGGATTGTATTAAACTTTGGTTTCTTGGCTTCTTGGTTAAAGAAATATATTGTTATTGGTAGTCTCTATCATGCAGTTTTCATGAGTTAATTTTTTTTGTCTAATATGTACTTTATCTGAATGAGTCTTCTAGATTTCTTGTTGGTGGTTGTAATGTCACAGGTAGGCACAGATAGCCAGGTTCTTGGTGATCGCAGACAAAAAATTGAACCGAACACACAGAATTTATAGCAGAAAGTGAGAGAAAGCAGATTTATTAACCCACACAGAACATGGGAGCAGGCCAGCTCGGAGCAGAGCATAGTGGAGCAGAGCCTAACAGCAGCAGCCCTGAACTCAGGAGCTAAAGGGCTTTTATTCCTCTAGGGTGGGTGTCCCACAATGCTAATTTATTATAATGATATAATGAAGCAGGGGTCAGGTAGCATCTTCTGCACAGGTGCATTCCTGATTTGGTAGGATTCAGTGCTTTTCCAGAAAGCAGGAACTATCAGTCTTAGAACAGGGTCTCTGCCCTTTATCCATGTTCTTTATCTTAGCCCTGGGGCACCGCTGGAGTTTTCTCCTTCCTATCTCCTGCCTTAGTAAGTGTTGGTACAACTGTTATCAGCCTTTGAGTCTTCTAAACTGTTACTTGTTAAATGCTTAAAATTTTTACAGTTAGAAGATTGTAGAGCTATGCCTAACTATCTGAAACAAGTATATGTACTATAGCTAAAATTACAGATCTGACTTAGTCATATGAAATCAGTGAAGTTGATCGTGATCTTATGTGCAAGGAAACTTGTTAATTTTTCCTCTGATATAATTAGAGTTTGCTGATTTGTAATTATGTATTCCAGATATACTTTTAAATGAGGCTGGAATTTTATAAGGGCTGCAGCCTTGGAAATGATGTTTGAATAACTGATATGTAAGCCTGAGGGAATGGCTAGGATTTTTACATTAGGCTTTGTGTCACATTAAAAAATATTTCTGTTACGAGGAAGTGTTTCCAAGTCTCTTGTGCATTAAGTAAATCAGCCATTTGCATTTTAGTTTAAAGCACTGCAATTCTTTATTTGTAGAGTTAATAAATTCACCTTTAAGACTCACATAGTTTTCATTCATTTGTCTGAAGTGTAATGTAACAAAACCATTCTTTATATTTAGAGAATTTATGCTCTTTGTGAAGCTACTTGTACCAGGAAATGATTGACAAAAAGTCTGCTCTTGTTGGATTTTAAAGAATATTGTTTACTTATTTTTAGAGACGGGGGAAGAGAGGGAGAGAGAGAGGGAGAAACGTCGATGTGAGAGAGAAACATCAATCGGTTGCCTCTTGCATGCTCCCAACCGGGGACCTGGCCTGCAACCCAGGCATGTGCCCTGACTAGGAATCGAAGTGGCGACCTTTCCATTTGCAGGATGACGCCCAACCCACTGAGCCACACTAGTCAGGTCTCCTGTTGGATTTTAGCGTACTGTTGATGACAGGGTGTAGATAGCAGTTAGCTTCAGAATTTGGGATATCCACCAAAGGAGAAGTCATGCAGGGATATCAACCAGGGAGAGAAATGGAGGGAACAAAACAATGATTATTGCTGGGCACTGAGAATTTTTCTAGGAAAGTTTTGTGAGTGAAATAGCATTCCCAAATAACAGTGAAATACAGATTGAGGAGAAGTACAGATCAGTGGGGAATTTGGATGGCAGGGAAATGATTAGGCTGAGAAATCTCATGTTAGACCTGAAGTCTTCATCAGTGAAAATGGTTCTTTAAAATTAAGTGGTCATATTAAGGGAGTCTTATTTGGTATGATTTCTTTAATTTCCTCTCAGTTTATACGTCAGTTGCATAGCAGAAAAAAAAGGAGTTAGATGTATGTCTTGCAGATCTTAGATCTTTAGTCATCCATTTCTTTTTGTTGATACTGCATAGTTTTGGAAATGAAACTATAATGTGAACCCCTTGAGCTGACATAAACACTTAAATATATGTTTATTTTATATCCTCACAGATTGATCATTTATTCATTACTAATTTACCAGAGATTGTGGTGGAGTTATTGATGACATTACATGAACCTGCAACTACTGGTGGAAGCCAAAGCACTGACCTATATGACTTTTCAGGGTATGAGTGTTTTAAACTTAGATAATTAGCTGCAATTTCAGGAGTTTATTGACAAGTACATTGGTTGGCACTTTTAAATGTCTGTTTAAATTGTTTCTTTAAAAATAACTTCCTTTGAATTGAAGTAATTACCTATTTGCTTCTACTGTAGGCTCTTCCACAGTAACTGCTCTTTCTAATTTACCATCTTGTTTCCAAATTCAAGACCTTTTTCCCTAGTCTCTCTAGTTTTTGAGCATTGTACCATTGGTTGTCTGTTAAAATTTTCTTAATGATACATTATTCTGTGTTCTCTTCTCCTTAGCTATGATTTGCATGTCTAGATCACCTTTCCTTTATCATCCTCTTTATCAGAATATTCTGTACTACAATTTAACTTGGACACATAAACCCTCTTGTTTGACATAAACGTTAGCTATTTTCCAAGCTTGATTATAAACTTCTTGAAAGCACCCTTTTTTTTTTAAATGCCCTACAATGCTAGGCATATGAAATAGTAATATCTACTGAAATACTTTTTTATATATCTAATTTCATTTGATATGTTTGACCACTGTCTTAGAATATTATTGTATTTACAGTACTAACATAGAGCTTTATTTAATACCTGAAGTGGAGTGACACTGAGACTCCTCTGTAGAATTACCATTAACTACATAAAAGAATTTTTAAGCAAATCACTTAAAAACTAAGTCCTAGAAGATAAAAGTATTTAGATACTCTGGTTGATGTATGTAGGCATATATATATATTATATATATATATTATATATATATATATCATTTTATTGAAAGCCTAGTTTTTCAGTAGAGAAATAACTTTTAAATTTGAGGTTACTATAACCTAAATTTTTATTCTGGAATTTTTCTTGAGTTTCAATCAAATGTTTTTTCTTGATAATTATGTTCTGAATATGATAATATTTTTTTCTGTAACTCTTAGGGATTTGGATCCTGCTCCTAATCCACCTCATTTTCCATCGCATGTGATTAAAGCAACATTTGCATATATCAGCAATTGCCATAAAACCAAATTTAAAAGCATTTTAGAAATTCTTTCTAAAAGCCCTGTAAGTATATAATACATATTATATACTAGTATAACAAACTGAGAAGAGCATTTCTACTTTTTCAGCTAGAATATCTGTGTGTGCACCTGGTAAAGAGAAAAAAGTAAATGAATAGAAAATTCACCTTAATAAATAAAAAAGAAAAATACTTATTTACAGGTCTATATCTTGGTATTGTATTTGTCAGTATTGATTCATATGAAGGGGCGTTACATATGAGAGCTGATTTTTCTTTTTTTAATTTTATTTATTTTAGACAGGGGAAGAGGGGGAGAAAGAGAGGGACAGAAACATTAGTGTGTGGTTGCCTCCCATGCACCCCCTACTGGGGACCTAACCTGGTTCGCAACCCAGGCATGTGCCCTGACTGGGTATTGAACCAGAAACCCTTTGGGTCACAGGCTGGTGCTCAATCCACTGAACCACACCAGCCAGGGCTGGGGGCTGAATTATTTTGTGACACTTCAGTCATATATTGGCTCATGAAAATACATTTTTTCATATGCTATTATAGTTTGTGAAAGTTAAGTAAGTTGATAGTAATTTTTTATGTTTAAGATAGTTATTTTTTAAGGTAATATTTTGCATTTGATACAGACCCAGATAAATTATATAATTTATTTTGAACACAAAATGTATTTATTATATCTGAGTGTATGTGATTTGACAAGTTTTGACTAAAATGTATCTTTATTTTATAGGATTCCTATCAGAAAATTCTTCTAGCTATATGTGAGCAAGCTGCTGAGACAAATAATGTTTATAAAAAGCACAGAATTCTTAAAATATATCACCTGTTTGTTAGTTTATTACTGAAAGAGATCAAAACTGGCTTAGGAGGAGCTTGGGCCTTTGTTCTTCGAGATGTTATTTATAGTTTGATTCACTATATCAACAAAAGGTAAATAATATATTTAGAATAAGATAAAAGTATTTTTCTATCCTGTTACCTTAATTGGACATTCATATCCTTCTAAGAGGTGGAAGCCAGTGTTGTTTCTTGAATTTATATCTACCTATTATTTTTTAAACTGTATTACCACTAATCCAAGTCTAGAAATCTTAACTAGTAAGGGTCTTTCAACATTTAAAAACACATATTGTAATTTCAGATGGCATTAAATATATGTTATTGTAGCAGTTCTGGTCACCAAGTCGAATGCATGTGTGGGGTGGTGTTTCACACATCCAAGGAAATCTCCAGACCTAGCTGGGTGTCCTACAGTTCAATTCAATTTTGATGAGATGGTGTCAAATCCCAGAGATCAAAGGCTCTCAATTTTGCAGGATCTCTCCCCACCCCAAACCAATCAGATACCAGTGGCAAGACCAGGTTTTCATCTGTGCTTCTAAATAACTGGCTCTAGATTACAAGTTGTAATGATCCCCACCTTCTTTTTTTTTTTTTTTAAGTTTATTTTTATTGTTTATACTATTATAGTTGTCCCAATTTTCCCCCTTTGCCCACCTCCCCCCAGCCCTTGCTGCCCTCTGTCCCAGCCTTTCTTCAGGCCATCACCACACTGTTGTCCCTGTCCATAGGTCACACATATATGTTCATTGGCTAATCCCTTCATGTTCTTCCATTCAGTATGCCCCCAACACCCTCCCCTCTGACAGTTGTCAGTCTGCTCCATGTGTGTATGTCTCTATTTGTATTTTGTTAGTTTATTTTGTTCATTGAATTTCACATATACATGAGATCATATATTATTTGAATTTCACTGATTCATTTATTTCACTTAGCATAATAATCTCCAGGTCCATCCATGCTGTCGCAAAAGGTTAAGAGTTCCTTCTATTTTATAGGCATTTGGTATTCCACTGTGTAAATGTACCACAGCATTTTTATCCACTCATCTGCTGATGAGCACATGGGCTGTTTCTGTATCTTGGTTATTGCAAATAATGCTACGATGACCATAGTGGTGCACATATTCTTTCAGATGGTGTTTTTTGGGATTCTTAAGATATATTCCAAGAGGTGGGACTGCTGGGTCAAAAGGCAGTTCCTTTTTCTTTGGTTTTTTTTTTAAAGATTTTATTTATTTTTAGAGAGAGGAGAAGGGAAGCAGAACAAAGGCAGAGAGAAAAAAAGGAATAAAAAAGGGAGAGAAACATCAATCAGTTGCTTCCCACAACTGGGCCTGCAGCCCAGGCATGTGCCCAGACCAGGGATTGAACCGGCAGCCTTCTCTTTTGCAGGCCAGCACTCAACCCACAGAACAACCCCAGTGGGGGCAGCAGTTCCATTTTTATTTTTTTGAGGAAACTCCATAATGTTTTTCACAGTGGCTTCACCCACCACTCTTTGCAGTCACACCAACAGTGCATTAGAGTTCCCATTTTTCCACAGCCAGTACTTGTTTGTTGCTTATTGATGGTAGCATTCTGGAAGCTGTGGGGAGGTATCTCACTGTGTTTAATTTGCATCTATCTGGTGATAAGGGACATTGAGCATTTTTTAATATGTCTGTTGGCCATCTGTATGTCCTCTTTGGAGAGGTGTCCGTTCAGGTCCTTTGCCCATTATTTAATTGGATTGTTTATCTTCCTGCTGTTAAGATGTATCATTTTTATATATTTTGGAAGTTAAACTCTTATCAGATGTATCATTGGCAAATATGTTTTCCCATACAATGGGTACCGTTTTCTTTTTTGTTGATAGGTTTTCTTTCATTCTTTTTTTTTTAAATTTTTGTCTTATTTCTCTGGCTAGAAGTTTAGTATAATATTGAATAGCAGTGTGAAAATGGACATCCTTGTGTTTTTCCTGATCTTAATGGAAAAGCTTTGTCTTTCAACATTGATTATGTTGTTATTTATGGGTTTTCCATAGGTTACCTCTATTTTATTGAGGAAGTTTCTGTTCATTCATGTGTTTCTCAGGATTTTTTATGATGAAAGGGTGTTAAATTTTTTTCAAATGTCTTTTCTGTGTTGGGATAACCAAGTAGTATTTTCTTTCATTCTATTAATAGGTATTGCATGTATCAGTTTTCTTATATTGACCTCTTGCAGTCCTGGGATAAATTCTACCTGCTCATGGTATCATTTATATGCTTCAGATTCAGATTGTTAATGTTTTCTTTAAGTTTTCCATCTATATTCATAAAGGGTATTAGATATTACAATTTTGCTGTGCTATCTTGATCTGACCTTGGTATCAGGCTAATACTGGCCTCATCAAATGAGTTAGGAAGAGTGCCCTTCTATTCTGTATTGGAAGAGTTTGAGAAATGATGAAGTTAATTCTTCTTAAGTGTTTGTTGGTGGGCTTTAACCAAGTCTTTTTTCTTTAAATGTGTTTATTGCTACATATTTTTTTGTCTTCTTTTTCTTTTTTTATTTAAAAGATTGTTTTTTATTGTTTATATTTTTTTAAGTTTATAAATCATGTTTATTCTATTACAGGTGTCTCTATTTTTCCCCCTTTACCCTCCTACACTGATCCCACCACCACCCCCCACTCCCACAGTCAGTTCCCACTCTGTTGTCCATGTCCATGGGTCATTCATACATGTTCTTTGTCTAGTCCCTTCCCCTTCTTTCCACCATTGTCCTCTTTCCCCATCCCCTCTGGTCACTTTCAGTCTGTTCCATGTTTCCATGCCTGTGGTTTATTTTGTTCGTTACTTTATTTTGTTGAATAGAGTCCACTAATAGGTGAGATCATATGGTATTTGTCTCTTAGCAACTGGTTTATTTCACTTAGCTTAATATTCTCCAGTTCCATGCATGTTGTCACAAAAGGTATGAGTTCCATCTCTCTATCTCTCTCTCTCTCTCTCTCTCTCTCTTTCTTTCTCTTAACTGCAGATTGATTTTATTTACTTTTTTAAATGTCAAAGTTAATTATAAAATATTAAAAAATTTAAAACCATTATAAAGTCTCAACAATGAAACCAACATGACACCAGCACAGAAATAATCAAGTAGATCATTGAAATATAATGAGCATTCTAGAGACAAATGTATATATCTAACAATGTAATATATGATTAAATTGATATTTCAAAACAATGGGTAAAATAAGGCTTATTCAACAAATAAGGTGCATGGACCACTATTACTTGAAGTAAAACAAATACAGAGCCCTATTTCACACATTATACAAATAATATTCAGGTGAGTTAAAAATCAATATGTAGAATCTAAGGAGTTTTACGAGAAAATATAAAATTATATATTTCTTACACTGAAGTAGAATATTCAAACCCAGAAGTTGTAAAGTAAAATATTGACAGTATGACTATGTTAAACATTTAAGACTATACAGTAATATATGTGTAAAAAGAAGTTAACGGACAAGTAATAGAATAGAAAATATTTGCAGCACATCTAAAAAAGGGTTAATGGGGTGTTGTGTTGGGTTTTGTTCTTTTGTTTTGGTTGTTTTTGTTTTTTAGGGAAAAGATTCTGCAAACATTTAATCAAAAAATATATAAAGAATATGAAAAAGTCATGTAAAACTTTTTAAAAATAATAGAAATAGGCAAGAAATACACAAAAACAGGTTTAGTTTTAACAAATAATAAAGTAACAATTAAAATAATATCTTTGTCACAGTCAGATTAATACGTATTAAAAAATATTGGTAATATCAAGTATTGGCAACTGTGAAAGGAACTGGGTATTCATAGACTTTTTCTTCATTTTCCTAAAGCAGTCCCTTTAGCATATTTTGCAGTGCTAGTTTGGTGGAGGTGTATTCTTCTAGCCTTCTTTTATCTGGGAAACTCCTTATTTGGCCTTCCATTTGAACTGAGAGCCTTGCAGGGTAGAGCAGTCTTGGTTGCAGACTGTTGCTTTTCATTACTTGGAATGTTTCTTGACATTCCCTTCTGGCTTGTAGTGTTTCTGCTGAGAAGTCAGCTGCTAGCCTTGCCAGGTCTCCATTATATGTTACTATCTCTTTCTCCTTTGCTTCCTTTAGGATTCTCTGTTTGCCTTTGATATTTGCCATTTTAATGATGATGTGTCTTGGAGTGGGACTCATTGGTTTCCTCTTGAATGGGATCCTCTGTGCTTCCTGAACTTGTGTGACTTTTTCTCTCCTCCAATTAGGAAAGTTTTCCATCATTACTTTTCCAAACAGGTTCTTTGTCCCATCCTCACCCTCTTCTTCTGATATCCCTATTATGCAGATATTATTGCGTTTCAGGTTGTCCTGCATATCCCTCAATGCCTCTTCATTCTTTTTGAGTCTTTTTTTATTTTCTTGCTCTTTCTGGGAGCTTTTTTCTACCTTGTCTTCCAGCTCACTGATTCAGTCCTCAGCTTCATCTAGCCTGCTTTTGATTCTTTCTACTGCGTTCTTCAACTCAGAAATTGTATTTTTCATTTCCTCTGGTCTCTTATTGGTAGTTTCTATGTCCTTTTTCATGCTGATATAGTTTGCAATAAGTTCCTCATAGTTTTCCTGTAGTTTTTGGTAATTCTCTTTGAGCTCACTGAGCTTGTTGAGCTTCCTTAGAACTGTTGTTTGGAACTCAGTATCTGGTAGTTTACTTGCCTCTATTTCATTTAGTTCTCTTTCTGGGTATTCCTCCCTTCCCTTCGAGTAGGGGTTATTTCTTTTTCTTCCCATACTTTGTGAGACTCTACTTTTTTGCTTCTGCTTCTTAATTTATCTGTCTAGATTTCCTGACTTTGTGGTGTGAACTTCTATGGTAGGAGACCACTGTTTTTACTTTCTGCTCCTGCCTCTGATGATGTCCTATGTCGTCTCTGTCTGACCTTAGGCAGTCTCTTCGAGACTTCCTGGAATCTACTGTTTGTGGCCGTCTCCTTCAGCTGTTAATCTAGTCACTCTTCACTCAGCAGGTCGCCTTAGGCAGCTCAGTGTGGAGTGGAGTCCCTCCTGAGGACAGGGTTATTGGGTCCTCTCACGCTGCTGCATATAGGGGAGGAGTCAGCACTGGGATCCCGCCGGCTACTCTGTCGGTTCTCTCCCAAAGCCTCCATCCCCAGTCTCTCCTCATGTGTCTCCAGACCTCTCTCCGCCCCCTTTAGCCAGGGATCTATGGTCTGTGGCTGCCACTCTGCACTCAGCAGGAGACTTAGCACAGGACAGAGTGGAATCTCACCTGGGGATGGGGCTATTGGGTCCTCCAACATTGGCGCGGCTCAGAGGGGAGTGGTCTCTGCCTGAGCAACATGGCTGGTGCCGGATGGGGGACGAGTCAGCAACGAGATCCCGCGGGGCTACTCTCTCAGTTCTCTCCCCAAAGCTTCCTTCCCCAGTCTCTCCTCAGGTGTATCTAGCCCACTCTGCCCCTGCCTTTGCCTGAGACCAGGGTAAGTGGCTGCAAATAAAAATTTATGTGTTGGCCCTTTAAAAGGCTCTTTGCATCTCCAGCCGCCTGTCTCTGTCTGAGAGCAACCCTGCCGTTTTTGCAGCTGGCTATTTTCTGTGTACTTTTTGGGTTCTGGTGCTGTAGGCTAGAGATCCCCACTTTTAGTTTAGACCCCACTCTTCTCCGGGGATCCAACTGGCCATTTCATTATCCTTCTGGTGCTGCTGCCCGTGGGTGCCCCACCTGCCTTCTCTGGTCTGTACTGCACTCCTTACCTGTGAGATTGCGCTAAAGCCGATTCTTCTGTCTCTGAGATTACAAGGCTCTTCTCTCACTATTGTTCAGTTGTTTGTTCCAGGTGATTTCTCCACAATTTATTTGTTTTTCCAGGTTGTTCCTGGGAGGAGGTCAGTGTGAGTTCCACTCACTCCTCTGCCATCTTGATCAATCTCTGCTACATATTTTTTGTCAGCACTGCTTTTCTTGCATCCCATAAGTTTTGCTACACTGCATTTCATTTTCCTTGGTCTCTATGCTTTTCTGCCATATGTAAGACAGTTGCTTAAAGTCTTTGACAATTCTATTATCTGAACTTTCTCAGGAACTGTTTCAGTCAGTACATTTATTCCTATGAGTGGGCCATACTTTCCTAAATTCTTTTCTAATTTGCTAATGCCTTGTGATTTTCTTTTTGAAAACAGGACATTTTACCATTCTAATGGAACTTTGGAAATCATATTTTCCCTTGCCCAAGGCTCAGCTGTTCTTGTTGTTGTTATTGTTGAAGGCTATAGTAGTCCATTTGTTTCATGAGTCTATTCAACTTTTTACAGAGAATGTGTTTCTTGCTATGTGTGGTCACTGAAGGCTGTTCCTTAACTTATGTTGAGGTAGTGTTTTGACACAGATTCCCTTGAATACTAGGAGCCAGAAAGAAAGAGAGTAAACGTTTTGTAGTCTTTTGCAGATTGGCTGTGTTAGGACTCTCCCTCAACATTTAGCCAGGCTGGCACTGAGCTCAGGGACCCGCCCAGAGTGAAAGTTTATGGCCTCAAAGGTCATTTTTGAGCAGGTATCTCACCCTGGGCATGTGTGTGGTTTTCTATATTCCCCAAATATATGGGTCATTTTTGAGTGCTCCAGTTTCCCAAGGAAGCTCTCTCTCCATCCGTTCCTCCTAGGCATTAGGCAATCTGTTGTATGACTGGACAGTAATCTTTTGCCCCAGGCAGTTGTGGGTTGTTGGCCAGATTAATAGCTTCAAGCAGTGACTGCAGCTTTTGTAGCCCTTGGGTAGCTCTCAGATAGGTTTAGAACAGAAATACACAATAATCTGTGAATAAGGTCTGCTCTGCTTTCTCCATAGCTAAGGTCCAAGGTCCCCCATTGGGAATTGGGGAATGCCGTTTTCATGAGGGGTGGGGCAAGGGGAACTAAAATCACCACAAAGCTTTTCTACATTTTTTAAGTTGTCTTTTTCTTGATTTAGTGTTTGCTTGATTGCTATAAACCTTTGACTGTTTACAGTGTTCTAAGAAAATACTGACAGTTCTTTTTAAAAAAAAATCTACAATTACAACAAATGATTTTTATTTTATACTATTCTTGGAGATCGTTTCATGACAAGCAGCAGAGCTACGTCATTCTTTATTAAACTCTTAAAATTTATATTTCAATTATAGTTGATATACAATATTATTTTCACATAGTAAAATGTAGTGATTAAATATTTATACATCTTACAGTGGTCACCCTGATAAAATCTAGTATCCAACTGACACCATATACAGCTACTACAATACTATTGGTTATATTTTCTACCTTACATCCCCATGACTCTATTTATAATGGCAATCTGTACTTCCTAATTCCTTTCAACTTTTTTACCCATTCTGCTATTCCCCCTTCCATCTGGTAACCATCAATTTATTCTCTGTATTTATGAGTTTATTCCTGCTTGGCAGGTTCATAAAGTGGTACAGCTATTATGCAAACAGTATACTATGGAGGTTCCTCAAAAATTTCAAAATGAACTATCATATGACAAAGTAATTCCACTTCTACATATTTATCTGAAGAAATCCAAAACACTAATTCACAAAGATACATGCACCCCTATGTTCATTGCAGCATTATTTACAATAGTTAAGATATGGAAACAACTTAAGTATCCATTGATAGATGAGTGGATAGAAATGATGTGGTACATAAACACAGACACACACTGGAATGTTACTTAGCCATATTAAAAAAATGAAATCTTGCCCTTTGTGACAACATGGATGAACCTAGAGTGTACCATGTTAAGTGAAATAAGTCAGATTGAGAAATACAAATACAGTATGATTTCACGTATGTGTGGGATCTGAAAAATAAAATAAGTGAAAAAAAAACTGAAAAAAATTCATGATTCTGTTTTTTAATGTCTCCTGTCAGGGAGAATGGAGCTTCCTATTCCACCATTTTGCTGATGCCACTTCTCTTTATTACCTTTAAGGAACTGGATATGAAAGTAACTTTAATGTTAAGCTATATTAGATTTAGAGTTGCTGAATAAAAATGATGTTCAAATGAGTTTATGTCAAAATAGTTTCCTAGAACTTAACTGTTTTTTTCCCTTACATTAGGCCTTCTCGTTTTACGGATGTGTCATTACGTAGCTTCTCCCTTTGTTGTGACCTATTAAGCCAAGTTTGCCGTACAGCAGTAACTTACTGTAAGGATGCTTTAGAAAATCATCTTCATGTTATTGTTGGTACACTTATACCCCTTGTGTTGGATCAGACGGAAGTTCAGGAACAGGTAATTTTATAAATCATTTTCAGAATGATACCTGAAATACACGTATAAAGTATTCTTGGAAGGAATTGAGTGTTGTATGTTTACTTGGTATAATTCATAGTTTTAGTGAAAATGTACGTATGTATTTTAACCCTCACTCAAGGATATATTTATTTTTATTTTTTTAATATTTTATTTGTTTATCTTTAGAGAGAGGGAAAGGGAGGGAGAAAGAGAGGGAGAGAAACATTGAAGTACGATACGTCAAATGGTTGCTTCTTGCATGCTTCTCCAACCAGACCCAGGCATGTGTCCTGACTGGGAATCGAACCAGTAACCTTTTGGTTTGCAGGGCCAGCACTCAGTCCATTGAGCCACACCAGCCAGGGCTATTTATTGAATTGAGAAAGAGAGAGAGACATCAATATGAGAGAAGAACAACAATCTGTTGCTTTTTGTATGCACCCCGACTGGGGATCGAACCCACAGCCTAGGAATGTGCCCTAACTTGGAATCAGACTTGCAAGCTTTTTTATGAAAATGGTTGGAAAAACCTTCTCAATGAATTAATTTTTGTAACCATTTAATCACTGAACACTTCGTAATTTTGATAAATAAATAACCTCACAGTTTCTGTCTTATGCTTAGGTGTAGAGGTAGTGAAAACTATGGATAGCAATTTGCACCACTCTGATGGTGTGTGCGATGTTACTTACATAAAATGTTTCAGTAATATTAGCATATTTTATACCTCAGTGCTCATCCGGTAGAAGCATTCAACTGTTCGTTGAATTATTTGAAAGCATGGAAACAGTAATAGCTGACTACCTTAGAAGTAACTGGCATATTTTATCTGAATTAGGTTAGCAGAGATGTTATCATTTATTACAATGGGTTTGGTTATATTACTTTATAATTAAGTCATTTACTTTATGTTTGTTTTTGATTTTGTTTAGGTATTGGACTTGTTGAAATACTTGGTGATAGATAACAAGGATAATGAAAACCTCTATATCACAATTAAACTTTTAGATCCTTTTCCTGATCATGTTGTCTTTAAGGATCTGCGTATTACTCAGCAGAAAATCAAATACAGTAGAGGACCCTTTTCACTCATGGAGGTAATAATCTAATATCTTACTATGTTATATTAGAAATGCTAGAGAGTAGTACCTTTTGAAATTCTCTAATGCTCTGAATATGAAAACCTGAAAGTTTTTTAAAAAATTATGATGAAAAGATAGCATGAGATCAACCCTCTTAAATAAAAAACTGAATCTTAATATATCTTGCAGTGCAGTAAAAGTATAAATATTAGTTTCTTGGTAAATATTTGAGTTAAAATATTGAAAAGATGTAATATAATATATGCTTGATTTTCATATGCATAACGTCCATTAATATCTCAAAATTACTATCTGATTCTTTCAGGGACAGTTTTAATGTTTGAGTTAAAGATATTTAACCTTTTAAAGAGTTTTTCAAGTTTTAGTTCTTTTAACCTTTATAAACTTCAAAATTATGTTCAGGTATACTTTTTCCCCATAAATCTTATAATTTAAAAGTTATAATTTGTATATTGCTAAGTATAAATATGAAAATATAGATAAGTATATTAAGATTTAAAACTAGTGTTGTAGTTCTAAATAAGTAGGAATTTAAGCTTTTCTCTGTAATTATGCTACAACATTCTTAAAATATAACTACCATATTTTGCCATGCATAACGTGCATTGTTTTACCCAAATTTTTGAAGGAAAAATAAGGATATGCTTTATACATGGGTAGTACTAATTCCATATCTATATAAATTTTTTAATTCTTTTATTTATGCTTATGCATTAAATGTGTAACTCTAGAAAGCAATAACAATACCTGTATGCAAAATAATATCCTGGAAAATGATAATCAGTTTTGTTTCTAAATTTAAATAAATAAAAAACTGAATTAAGAAGTTTAAAACAAAGATTTTTTTTTTCCTGAAAGTGTAGACCCAAAATACAGGTGCGCATTGTGCATGGGAGCACATTATACAAAATTTGCAAAATATGGTATGTTACCATGAGGCAGCCTATTAGACTTTAAATTTAAAACAAGTAGGACTTGAAATGGAAGAAATAATTTACTTTTAAGTTGTTTGGTAGTAATAATGAGATGAGCCAGTGTCTGTAAAAGGCACTTAGTAATTTTTTCAAAGTTTTATTTCACAGACTTAAGCAGTACACGTGAAAAGCAATTTCATTTTAAATTTTATATTTTAGGAAATTAACCATTTTCTCTCAGTAAGTGTTTATGATGCACTTCCATTGACAAGGCTTGAAGGATTGAAGGATCTTCGGAGACAACTACAACAACACAAAGATCAGATGATGGAGCTTATGAGAACATCTCAGGGTACTTTTATGTTGTTTTATTTCATTTATTTTATTTTGGCTTTTTATTATTATATTTAATTGATTATGCTATTACAGTTGTCCCAAATTATTCCCCTTTGTCTCCCTCCACCCAGCTCCACTCACTGCCTCAGGCAATCCCCACAACATTGTTCATGTCCATGAGTCATGTGTTTAGTTCTTTGGTTACTCCATTTCCTATACTGTACTTTACATCCATGTGGCTATTCTGTAACTGCCAGTATGTACTTCTTGATCCCCTTACCTCTTCCTCCATACCCCCACAACCCCCCTCCCTTCTGGCATCATAAAAAATGCTCTCCACATCCATGATTCTGACTCTGTTCTTGTTTCCTTAGTTTATTTTTTAGATTCAGTTGTTGATAGACATATATTTATTTCCATTTTATTGTTCCTACTTTTGATCTTCTTCTTCTTAATTAAGTCTCTTTAACATTTCATATAATGATGGTTTGGTGATGATGAACTCTTAGTTTTTTCTTGTCTGGGAAGCTCTTTGTCTGCCCTTTGATTTCTAAATGATAGCTTTTCTGGGTAGAACAATCTTGGCTATAGGTCTCTGCTCTTCATGACTTTGAATATTTCTTACCAGTGCCTTCTAGCCTGCAAAGTCTCGTTTGAGAAATCAGCTGGAAGCTGTATGGGAACTCCCCTGTAGCTAACTAACTGCCTTTCTCTTGCTTCTTTTAAGATTTTGTCTTCATCTTTAAGCTTCAGTATTTTAATTGTTATATGTCTTGGTGTGGGCCTTTTTGCATCCATCTTGTTTGGGATTCTCTGTGCTTCCTGGACTTGCATGTCTATTTCTTCTATCAAGTTAAGGAAGCTTTCTTTTATTATTTTTTCAAGTGGATTTCCAATTTCTTGCTCTTTCTCTTCTTCTGCTACCCTTATGATATGAACGTTGGAATGCTTGAAGTTGTCTCAAAGGCTCCTTACACTATCCTCGTTTTTTTGGATTTCTTTTTTCTTCTTCTAGTTCTCATTGGTTTCTTTTTTCTTCCTTATGTTCCAGTTCATTGATAGATTTTCGGCTTTGTCCACCCTACTGTTGTTTTACGTAAATTGTTTTTTATTTCAATTATTGTATCTTTTATTTCTAGCTGGATCTTTTTTATACCATTGAGGTCCTCACTAAATACCTTGCGCATCCTTATAACCAGTGTTTTGAATTCTGCATCTAATACATGCTTACCTCCCTTTTGTTTAGTTCTTTTTCTGGATTTTTGATCTGTTCTTTTGTTTGGGCCATATTGTTTTGTCTCTTTATTTTGGCAGCCTCCTTGTGTTTGTTTCTATGTATTAGGAAAAGCTTCTATGACTTTCTTTCTTGGTAGTGTGACTTACTGTAATAGGTGTCCTGTAGGGTCCAGTGGCACAACCTCCCCTGTCACCCAGGCTGGGTGCTTGAGATGTGCCCTTCATGTGGGCTGGGTATACCCTCCTCTTGAACTTGAGCCTTGGTTGCTCTTGGCAGGTCAATGGGAGGTATTTACCCAGGCCAGTTAGGTGCAAGGACTGACTGGGACTGCTGACCACTAACCTCTACCTTCCATGGAGGATAAGCTATACAGGGGCAGGGTGGTGGTGCTCTGATGTGGTTTTTAGATGTCCACTGGGTGCGCAGGCTCTGCTCTCCTGGGTGATTTGGGACAAGGTCATCCTCTACCTCTGTTCTGCCCACAGCCACTCTGCATGAGCTGTAAAGCGTTCTGAGGTGGCTGCTACTTGTGGTGGACTGGAAAAACCCAAGCAAAGCCAAGCTGTGAATCTGGGCTGGCTGCTGCTAGGGTCAGGCCTGGGACCACTTAGCAAGAGGTATGGGGATTAGGGACTTACTGAGGCCAGCTCTTGCTTGTTTAATAGGATTTAGGAACTTGTGAAGCATGAGCCAAGACCAGCCATTCATATGGAGAAGTCACTGTTAACAGCTTGGATGGGCTTAAGGTGGGTGGGATAGAGTTTCAGGGGGTATCCAGAGTGGGCATACAGTTTTAGCCAGGTTGATAGCATCTCATATATGGCACCTATCTGCTGTCTCTGTGGCTCTGTCAGGGGAGGGTTCAGAAAAGGGACAATGGCCTCTGCCTGCCTTTCTGCCCAGAAGAAAGCTGTACCCCAGCTCTCACCTTGATATCGGACACTTCAGTTACTCCTTGGGGTAGCAGCTTGGAAGCCAGTGGTGCCTTTCAAGCTGCTACCCCTGTGCTGGAACTCAGAGGGAGTGAGTCTGAGTGAATCCGTTTGTGGGTTCTTTAAGGGGAACTGCTTGGGACTCCAGAATTTTTTCTAGTGACTCAATCCCTGCTGGGTTTTGCCACCAGAGGTTATGGGGAGCTATTTTCCTGGCATTTGAATACTGTCAGGTTTGGTGTGGGGTTGGGAGAGAAAAGATCTCTCTCCCAAATTTTTATCCACCACACGTGGATGTGGGACCAACCCGTCCTGTGTGTCTGCCCCTCCTTCCATTCAGGATGGATTTGGCTTCTTTAATTCTGTAGTTATCAGACTTGTATTCAACTCGATTTCTGATGGTTCTGAGTGATGGTTATTCCATATTTTAGATGTAATTTTGATGCGGTTGTGCAAGAAGGCAAGCCATGTTTACCTATGCCACCATCTTTTTTTTTTTCCCTCGTTACCTTTTAGTCCCCTTTCATCCTCATTCCTCCAGCAGTCACCACACTGTTGTCCATATCCATGAGTCCTTTTGCTTTATGCACAATCCCTCCACCTCCTAAACTTCTCCCTCCACTAGCTGTCATCTGTTCTCCATCTGAGAGTCTGTCTCTGTTTTGCTTGTTTGTTCAGTTTGCTTGTTAGATTCCACAAATGAATGAAATCATGTGGTATTTGTCTTCCTCTGACTGGCTAATTTAACTAGTATAATATCTCCAGGTCCATCCATACTGTTATAAAGGGTAAAATTGTCTTCTTTTTTATACTTCCTAGAATTCCTAGAATTCCAATATGTAAATGTCCCATAGTTGTTTTGTCCACTAATCTGTTGATGTAAACTTGGGCTACTTCCATATCTTGGTGATTGTAAGTAATGCTGCAGTGAACATAGGGGTGCTTGTTCTTTAGAACTAGTGTTTTGGGTTCCTTCGGACATGTTCCCAGAAGTGGGGTTGCTGAGTCGAGAAATATCCACCTTTAATTTTTTAAGGTATCTCCATACCGCTCTCCACAATGGCTTCACCAGTCTGCATTCCCACCAACAGTGCAAAAAGGGTTCCCCTTTCTCCACATCCATGCTAGCTACCACTTGTTGTTTGTTGATTTATTGATGATAGCAATTTTGAGAGGTGTAAGATGGTATCTCATAGTGGTTTTAATTTGCATTTCTCTGATGATTTGTGATGTTGAGCATCTTTTAATATATCTGTTGGCCATTTGTATGGTTAGTTGTTTTTTTGGTGTTTAATTTTGTAAGAACTTTATAAATTTTGGATATTAACCCCTTATAGGATGTATTGGGGAATGTGTTCTTCCATTACGTGGATTGTCTTTATTTTGTGGATAATTTCCTTTGCTGTGCAAAAACTTTTTAGTTTGTTATAGTCCCATTTGTTTACTCTTTCTTTTGTTCCCTTACCTGCAGAGATAGATGTGATAAAAAATTTCTACGTACAATGTCAGAGATTTTGCTGCCTCTGTTTTTTTTCTAGGATTTTTATGGTATCTCGTCCAACACTTTGGATCAAGTCTTTGATTCATTTTGAATTTATTCTTGTTTGTGGTGTAAGAAGGTGGTCTAGTTTCGTTTTTATACACGTATCCGTCCAGTTTTCCCAACACCACTTATTGAATAAACTATCTTTAGGCCATAATATGTGCCTGCTTCCTCTGTTGAATATTAATTGACTATAAAGGTATAGGCTTATTTCTGGGCTCTCTGTTCTGTTCCATTGATTTTTGTGTTTGTTTTTATGCCAGTACAAGGCTGTTTTGATTACTATGGCATGGTGGTATAGTTTGATATTAAGCAGCATGATTCTTTCACCTTTATTCCTCTTTCTCAAGATCACTGTTTCTACATGGGTCCTTTTGTGGTTCTATATAAATGGAAAAAAGATTTGTTTTGGGTTTGTGAAATCCATCACTGGAATCTCGGTAAGTAAGTATTGCAGTGAATCTATAGATAGCTTGGGTAGTTTGGGCATTTTAATGATGTTAATTCTTCCTATCCATGAACACAGTACGTGCTTCAATTTATTTGTATCTTCTTCAGTTTCTTTCTTCAGTGTCTTATAATTTTCTCTGTATAGGTGTTTTATTTATGTCCTTGGTTAGGTTTATTCCTAGGTATTTTATTCTTTTTGATGCAATTGTGAATGGGATTGTTCTCTTAATATCCCTTTCTGTTACTTTTGTTATTTGCATATAAAAATGCAGCTGACTTCTGGATATTACTTTTGTATCCTACTGCTTTGCTAATTCATTTTTCAGATTAGTAGTTTATTGGTGGACTCTTTGAGGTTCTCTGTGTACAGTATTATGTCATCTGCAAATAAAGACAGTTTTACTTCTTCCTTCCCAATTGGATGCCTTTTATTTTTTGGTATTGCTTAATTGCTGTGGCTAGGATGTCCAGTACTATATTGAAGAAGAGAAGTGTGAGTGGACATCCTTGTCTTGCTCCCGATGTTAAGGGGAACGCTTGTAGTTTTTGCCCAGTGAGTATGGTGCTGGTAATGGGTTTGTCATATATGGCCCTTATTATGTTTAGGTATGTTTCCTCTGTTCCCACTTTGCTGCAAGTTTTGATTATAAATGAGTGCTGGATTTTATTAATAGCTTTTTGTGCATCTATTGATATGATTGTGTGACTTTTATCCTTCCTTTTGTTTATGTGGTGAATTAAATTTATTGATTTCCAAATATTTTTACCAGCCTTGCACTCCTGGAATAAATCCCACTTGATAATGGTATATGATCTTTTGATGCATTGCTGTGTTCGGTTTGCTAATATTTTGG